CGTATTTACTAAGTCCCACATTTCAAATATATATTCTTATTGTTTCTTCTCATACAGTGTCACAAAAGGTATTAGATTCCAGAATTCCCAACAGTTAAACACCCTTAAAAAGTCAATATCCAGTGCCGGTGTTTTGTTTTAATAATCACGAGTGTAAATAACCTAAATCCCCGATAAAAGCGGAAGGCTATTAGCCTATTCACGCCAAAAACTAATTATTAACATTTAACTTTATTTGGTTATTTACAGCCCATAATAATAATAATAATATTTTTTTAAATTAATAATTCTGTATTTTTTACAGACCATGCAGATATTTTGCCACATTAAAAAGCCTCCTCCATCTCTGCCTGTTTTGTGCTATTTCTTTCCATTTATCTGCAGCTCTATTGCATCTATGTTGATCCATCTGCTTTTGGCCTTCCACGTGGTCTTTTGCCTTCTGTTGAGGTATTCATTGTTACGTAGAGGCTTCCAGATGGATTGTTACGATCCACATGCCCATCTTAACCTCCGTGCCTTCATATCATGGGATATTGATTGACCAGTTGCTGTAAGCAGTTTTTTATAGGTCTTTCTTCTCCATGTGCTAATACTCAGTTCCCAGATCGCCCCGGTTATCGTGTAGATGATTTTTCTCTCAAATCTTTCAACACTTTTTTCTAGGGTGCTAGCTAGTGCCATCTTAGATATATATTAGAAATGGCTTTATCATAGCATTCTACATCCTTAGTTTGAGATTTCTTGAGATTTTTCGGGATTTTAATACCTTTGAGAGAGAGAAGAAAGCTCTGTTTGCTTTTAATATTGTTATAAAATAAATAATGACAATTTTAATTAATGATTTTAAAATATGGAAATATATGTTAGCTCCTCACCGATAGGACCAAAGAGAAGTCCAACGTGAAGAAGTCACATGCTGTGATGGTCACATTCCTCTTCATTGCGATATGAAGTTTTAACTTTGGCTGTAAAATTTATAGTAATAATTGATATGAAAATAAAAACAAAATATTTAAACTTTAATCTATTGACTCTTTACGTTGTCATATAGTCCAAAGTCCTCATCGCCAATCATGAGCTGGTAAAGGAGGAGATCAAACTGCTGCGACTGAAACATGTGAATCGAAACTAAAAATTAAAAATAAATAATATTTCAATTACTAACTAAATTGAATATTTAACAAATAAATCAATAGTTTTAACATAGTGTCAAAACAATTTCAATAGTTAAACCACATTGTTCTGGAACTTAAAATTTTAAAAACTTTGGTGTGTTTATTTGGTGAAGAAATATATCAAATTTCCCAACACATGGCTTACAAAATAATTTTCTTTTCATTCTTAACCTACAATGGATATTGTGTTTAAAAAGTTTATTCACATTTTTAAAAATTTATTGATATAAATATTATGTGTAACTTCCACAATTCTCTATATCTTTTTGTATCTTGTCCGTTCTAGCCCTGAAGAAGACCTACAAAGTCGGGTCGAAACGTTGCTTTTGATAAAATCGTTTTGCCACTATCTAGTCTATTTATGACCACCACCCCGGACCATCTCCTTCCTTAATAGTGCAACGGTCAACTATTAAATATTCTTTATTGTTCTTAATATTTCAATGTACTTACTGTTTATATTTTTTAAAAAAATTATTCGCATTTTTTATAATTTGTTGGTCTAAATATTATGTAACTTCCACAATTCTCTATATCTTTTTGTATCTTGTCCGTTCTAGCCCTGAAGAAGATCTGCAAAGTCGGGTCGAAACGTTGGATTTTAATAAAATCGTTTAGACAATATCTAGTCTATTTATGACCGCCACTCCGGACCATTTCATTCCTGTAAAGTACAACGGTCAACTATTAAGTATTCAATATGACTCGAAAAATATTCTAATATCAGCTTTATCTAATTTCTCACATTTTTAAGTCCCGTCGACAAAAGTATCCTTCTTGAATGACTGATATTACTCATCCGATCGAGAGAGAGAGAAAACATACGGATAAAGTAATGTATTTTTCGTGAAAAACTTACACTGAAACGTAGAGTTTATACAAGAAATAAACTTAGTAAATAATAAAAATTACACGTATTACCTTACTCATTATTGTAGACAAACATCCAGTAATTCTTAACAAATTTATACAGACAAAAATAGCAAAATAAATGGTAAATAAGATAGGAAGCAATTTCTGATTGCGAATAAAATACAAAATATAATAAAACCTTGTAGAAACTAAAAAAAAGGTGTACAGTGTCAATATTAACAGCTGCAATCTATAACAGGAAGAAAACATATCTACAACTCTAGACAGTCGATGGTTAACATCAAGAAGAATTTCTAGTATATTATTAATATTGCGCCTTGTATTCTTTAGCTGGTCTAAGGTATTCACAACCAGATCGTAGCGGCTGAGGATATGGCATCCAACGGCGATGATCTGAGAGCAGATGAGGATGTAACTTCTGATTCCTATAAAGTTGTACAAGAGAATAGAATCTGGGCCTAAGGCTGCACCTATGATAAAATACAAAGAGATTATCAAAATCATCAAAAACCTGGTCGACCAATCGAGGCGATGCACCTTTAGAACTCCAATGGCGGAAAGTTTTGCGTCGATCATCTTTAGCTCTTCAAACAACTGTCCATATTTTGTTCCATTACTGTAGGCATCTATAACTGGTGAAATGTGTAACGCAAAGTAAAGTGGTATGTTAATCAGGGCTATAATTACTATTGAAATATCGTTGAGCAACCATAATCTGTGGAAGATAAAAACGCCAAAACATCCAATGCCACATGAAATGCTGATCGATAAGACAGCAAGAGCGTATGAGAACCTCAACTTGCCCTTTTTAAACACTAGCGGAGAAAGACCAAACAAAGAAGACAGTCGGAACACTAGCTGCAACTGAGGACATAGTGGATCACCTTCCAATCTCCTTCTTGATCTACTCATTCTTATCGATTCCATCTAGTGAATGCTCTTCAAGAAACTGAAGTGAGGATAATGGTATGACTGTTTTAAATTATAGCTAGAACAAACTGACAAAATAATGGCCACGATGATGTCTAATATCTGTCTACCTATCACTTTGTATATGAGAATGCCGCCTTATATAAACAAATACCTGATGGGTTTATGAAATTCGTATACGGCTATTATTGTATGTATTAATATGATTGAGTGTTATTGTCACCAAGCTGTTATTACCCTTCGCTCAGAAATATTTCATTTTCGCAATTGTGAGCTCATGTACAATTCCAACCTTCTTGCACATCTAGAGTATTGTATTACAGAAAGTGATTAACTAAAATGAGCGTGTTGAGGTCATGGAGAAAGGGAAAGCAATTGGCTTGATGCTGGAAAGGTCTCGTTTTTCGGTTTTTTACTTAGATCTCGAAAATACAACGGCTTACAGAAAATAACATGTTCTCCTTTAAGAATGATAAAATTATTTTTTTCTCATTTGTCATTGCTTTCGAAATATCTAATCGACTATTCACGTAAATTTATTTTAAATCCTCTATCATTTGTCAAACTTGGCTTGTTATCACCTCAATTTTTGTTCTACAGAAAAATAGATCACAAGAAACTTTAAGTAAAGATGATGAATCGGAAAAAAGTCTTACTGTGTTGAGCGTTCCAGGTTTTTTGTCGATCATTGTTAGCGAACAACTGTCTATATTGCATTGTTGTAGACATCGATTTTACTTTGTGGTCATTTGTTGCGTGCACATCTTCATATGTTTTCTGGTGGTCCCAACAAGTGAGTAACTATCCGCCTGCTTTCAAGCAGTAACTTAATATCTGTGCTAGTAGACGGTACTGAGGATGTTGATGCGCACCTGGCCTGACGATCCCTTCAACATTGAACATTAAACATTGAAGAGGATCCCATTATTATGTTAAAAAAAAAACGGCATCGAAACGTCGAATAAACAACAGGATCAATGAACTAGTTGTAGTTTATTGAATAATAGTTAAGTGACCTGATTCCCAATTTAAATAATTATATTATTATATCATTAACGTGTAGATGCCTATAGATAGACTGCTCCGAAGAACAACTGCTTTACCTACATCTTCTCCAACGAGCTAGATCTTAATCTCTGTGCCTTCATATTATAAGATATTGATTGACCAGTTTCTGTAAGCAGCTCTTTTTTGATATTTTTTTCTCCATGTATAAGTACTCTGATCCCAGATCGCTTCGGTTATCGTGTCGAGAATTTTTCTCTGAAATCTAAAATATTTATTCTAAAGCGTTGATCGGTGTACAGCTATTAGAACTGGCTTTATTATAACACTATACACCATTAGCTTGAGATTTCTTGGAATTTTTCGGGATATCAATACCTTTGAAAGAGAGAAGAAACGTTTGTACTTTTTATACGCTGTTCTATTTCCGAAAGTTGGTCATTCTTATTGATTATTGTGGAGCCGAGGTATTTGAATTTGTCTACAATTGACAACGACTGCTGTTCTACACAGATCCTGTTATTGAGGTAGAATTTTCGGCCTATTATCATATTTTTTTTTTTTGTCTTCATTTAATTGTAGGCCTATCTGCTATGCTTCACTTATATATATATATATTGCCTTGATACTCAGTCATTAAAATTAGAATATTGTAGTTGTATAAACTAAAATTTATTCTCTTTTTTTTTTAACCTCTAGATCCTCAGAAAATACCTTCGCTTATGAGTTATTCATAAACAAATTATTTTGATTAATTTTTAAATTAAAAATACTAATTTTTATAAAATTGTGATATAAAATTAAAACAACTATTTTTTTTTTTTTTTTACAAGCATTCTTCTATCTAAGTATACTAAGGAAAATAAATCATTGTCATAGTTTAAATTTATTTTTGTATTTGTTCCTTACATTTTGAATTAAACTACTAGCATTGTAATTAATAATATTAATCGAAAAGGTGTACTGCGATGATCGCATATCACAAGGATCTGCTGAAGTGAGGAAGCGTGGCTGTCAATTTCGAGGAGCTAAGGGATGGCCAAATTGAACGAAAATGACTAGGTAAGTGGTCACAGAGGCTGCCATCTGTGGAATAAAATTAAGAGCGCCACATTTACTATAAATATAAACTAACAGACAAAAAAAAGAAATGCATTTTTATTTCTTCGCATACCTTTAGGTTATAGGTACTTTGATAGATAAACTAATATTTTTTTAATCTAAAAAACATGTTTTCTTACACTCTTTGGAACAGTAGATATTGGATATACATAAGATATATAGGGCTTCTATACCATAAACAGAAAAACTAAAAACTAAAAGAAAAATAAAATAAAGTAGATAGTCCGGGATTGCTGTCATAAATAAGCTAAATAGTGGGAAAACTATTTTATTAAAAGCCAACGTTTCGAAACTCCTAGCTGAACACACCTCCCTGAAGAAGACCTGCTCGAAACATTAGCTTTTAATAAAATAGTTTTGCCACTATTTATGACCGCCACCCCGGACTATCTCCTTCCTTTAAAATGCAACGGTCAACTATTAAATATTCAATAAAATAAAAGAAGTAAAAAAATTGTTACATATCCAAATTTATATGAGGAGAGAAATACTGCAGAACTTGAGTTTCTCATCCTTCTCCAAAAGTCCCCGTCAGTTGGCTCTATCTGTTGATGCAGCTCTCCAGTTCCTAGCGCGGAAGAGATCGCGTGCGTCTGCTGTGACTCTTCGCTTGCCATGAAGGTCTTCAGCCAATGTCCTCTTAGGGTTCTCGCCCTCCTTCACCTTTTAACGTGGTCCGCCCATCGAAGTCTCTCAATCTTGATACACTTGATGATATCAGGATCTCTGTACAGCCTTGAGAGTTCCTGGATCTTCTTCCTTTTCCAGGTGACTCTCTCTCGAACCGGACCGAAAATTCTTCTCAATGCCTTCCATTCACACACCACAAGGAGGTACGTAAGAACCGGACGAATCAGAAATATTTTGCTAGCCCAAAAATCGATTAGCTGGGGTAATTCTCCGGTTAATCTCCAGGAATGTGTCATTTTGAGTGTTTATTTCTGAGTCCAGGTATACGAAACTTGGCACCCTCTCAAATCTATTTGGTCCAACTTAGAAAAGCCTGTCCCTACCTCTGATGGTCATATTCTTAAATACGTTTTCATGGGTTCATTGATGGCCAAGCCAAGAATTTTGGCTTCTTGTTCTAGAGCCAGAAATGCTTCATTTAGGGGCACGTTCTGATCTGGCAGCTATGTCGAAGTCATCTGCGTATCCCCAGTAACTGAACCGTACTGTTGAATAATGTGGCCCGTGTTTGGCCATCTCGTGGAAGGGCGGCTCCCTGTCTCACGCCGTAGTTCGTGGCAGTAGGTTCAGAGAGGTCAGATCCGATACGAATTACGCCGATCGACCAGAACATAGTCATCCTCTCCAGGCGAATCAGCTTTCTGGGATGCTCATTTCTTCTAGCGCGTGGAAGAGCTCGGGTCAGGGTAAACTATCTTACGTTGACTAGAAATCCAAAAATAGACGGTGCATAACCACCCTGTATTCCTTGGCTTTTTCAGAATCATTCTCAGGGAGAAGATCCGGTCCATGGTTGACCTACCCCTTCTGAATCCAGCTTGGTAGTTGCCAATCTCTCTTTCAGCATTTTGGGTAAGTCTTTTGAAAAGGATTTTTGACATCACCTTGTAAGTACTCGGAAGAAGGACTATACTCCTGTAGTTGTCGCACTCCGTTTAGTTGCCCTTCTTGTGAAGCGTGCAAATAACTCCTTTTTTCTTCCCATATTGTAAGGATGAGGTTGTGAAGTTCCTTCATAGGTGCCTCGCCACCGTAGCGAATCATCTCCGCCTGTAATCCGTCTAGTCCCGGGGCTTTGTTATTCTTCAGCTTCATAACGGTTCTGCATCATTTGGTGGGACTTCCACCCTTGGGATGATGCTGGCTTCCTCATCTGCATCGTCTTGATGAAGAACTTCTTCAAAGTAATGCCTCCATCTCTCCAGGATTTCTCCCTTTTTCGTCAGGATATTTCCATTTGTATCCTTACAGGAGGTGACCCTCGGTTTAAAAACCGACCTCCCTTCATACAACTTCTGGAAAAATAGGCTATTTTCATGGAGAGATCTGTGGGTCTTAACATCCCCCATTCTTTCGTCCTGTCATGTTTTTTTCTTTATGCGTCTCATATTCTTTTCTTCTCGTCTCCTTTTTCTATACTCCTCTTGTGATTACCGACTGTAACGCTGGATCATCTTACATGCCTCGTTCTTCTGGATTGTGAATTCCAGGCAATCATCGTAGAACCACGGTGACCTGACATTCCTTGTTTGAGGTCCGAGCGTCTACTTTGCTGTATCTTTGATAGCTTCGGCTATTCCTGCCCATTGATCATCTAATACCTCGTCTCTCTCAACTCCTACGCGGGATTAACTTCGAAGCGTTGCCGGTATGTTATGCGACTGTACCAATTCTTTTAGTTTGGATACGACATATTATTGTTGGACCGGAGCAGCTGCTATATGTCTTTTCGTTGATATTCGTGGGCGGATCCTAGCGGTGCTGAAGAAATGATCCGAGTCGACGTTCGTAAGGTTACTTCTATGACGTGAACTAATCAAAATGTGGTCTATTTGCTTCATGACTGTCCCATTTGGTGATCTCTGAGTGGCTTTTAGGATGTTCTTGCCAGAAAACAATGTGCTGCCAATGACTAGACCCTGTGCTTTGAAAGTCTATGAGCCTATGACCATTCTCATTCGTGCTCTCATGTAGCTTGAAGGCTCCTGTTTATAGTAACTTGGCCAATTTGGGTATTAAGATTACCAAGTTGTTATCAATTTCCTGGCAGTTTCTGAAAATGCTTGCCAATGCTTCGTAAAAGATATCCTTATTCTTTATTAATGTGACTTCAGTTGGTGCGTGCTAGTTTATAATAGAGATATTAAAGAATCTTCCTTTGATAAGCGTATTACTCATCAAGTTATTTCAACATGGCGATGATTGTAGACATAGTTGCCATTAAATATTCTCTCATGGAGTTTTGTTTCAATATGTGCTTTCAATCGAAATAAGCTAAAGGACACCATCTTTTCAAGAAAAATAGAATTCTAGTTCCAGATAACTTTACACAAGGTATCTTACCATGCCTTTGCACGCTTCAGGCGATATTGTTAATAATAATTATTATTAAATAAATAAATAAAATATTTTATGTAATATAGGTAAGTTCCTCACCGCTAGGACCAGAGAGAAGTCCAACGTGAAGAACTCACATGCTGTGATGCTTACATTATTTTTCATGGCGATGTGCAGTTTTAACTTAGGCTGCAAAATTATTAGTTATAGTCGGTACAAAAATAAAGAAAATATTTAACTTTATAAAACATTGACTCATTACGTTGTCAAGTAATCCAAAGTCCTCATCGCTAATCATGAGCTGGTAGAGGAGGAAATCGAACTGCTGCGACTGAAATATGTGAATAGAAATTAAACATTAAAAATAAATAATAGTTTAATTACTAATCAAAGTAAATATTTCTAACAAAGTGTCAAAACAATTTCAAAAGTTGAAACCCAATGCTCTCAAACTTACTATCTTAAAGCTAAGTAGGGCTAAAATTATTTCTACATTTTCCGCAATTTAGAGTAGGGTATAAGTATTTATCCAAATTATACCAATTTTACAGATTTCCGAAAATTCCGCAATTGACGTTCCTGGCTATAGGTTGTGACTACAAAAAAAAAGGGCAAAACCAGTTGCAAAATATTATATTTAAGTGGTTGAAAATTCGGAAATACGCAATTTCACGAGTAGTCTGCCAGCGTTTTAAGTCCGACTGCTTGGATCAGAGAAATGGCGAAACTGAGAAAAATAGAGTGACTAGAGTCAAGAACAGGGCTAGTTTTCTGTTTTGTTTTTTTTTTTGTTTTTTTTTTGTGGGATATTCTGAAAATACGAATGAATGAATTATGAACTGAAATAAAATGAAGTTCGGAAAATAAAATAACACACGAAATAATGAAGCGGTAACGAAAATAATCATACATCATTTCTATAGATCACTATAGAACGTCGATTGAGTGATCTGAGTCCTCTGTAATCATGGATAGGAACATTATGACAATATTTGAAAATTAAAAATAAATCATTGATCTCAGTTTAACATAAGTGATATTTCATTATTGTAATGTTATATTTGTGTTTCTACTGAAAGTGGAAAAGAAAATGGGGAATAAGGATAGGGAAAGAGTCACGCATCATGAACCTAATGTTTGTTGGTGACCAAGTAATCATAGCCCAGGATAGATAGGACATCAATTATATGTTCAGGAAGGTTGTCGAGGTATGAAAAGTGGTGGTTGATTATTAACTTCATGAAAACAGATATAAAAACTGTAGAGAAATATAAATACCTAGGATCAATATTAAATAGAGGGGATCAATATTCACTAATTCTTATTGACATAAGAATTAGTGAAAGAAGAAAGGTCACAGCAATACTCAACAGTATCCTCTGGAGGTCGAATATACAGCCCAGTAAAAAGAGGCTAATATTGTTAACGTGGCATAGGCTTATTTCTTAATTTTTGCATTATTATTTTCTCTCACATTTACCCCTTTTCAATGTTAACAATAAAATGTTTATTTATTTTTTTTTTGTAAAAGTTTGAGGAACAATTGTTCCTAAAATTTATTTAAGTTTATATTGTAGTTTATATTTGGCTTCGTTTGCGATGTGTTATCGCGTTTGTGTATACGCTCCAGCCCGGCAGTAATACCCTGTCTTAGGGATTAAGACACAAATACTGCGATAATACTGTTGGGTCCTCAGTCTGAAAGTAGCCTTTGTCGAGATAGTAGAAGACGTCTACCCCCACCAGTCCAGACTCATCACATCTCGCCTAGCGCCATTTTCGAACATCAGCTGTTTGGCGACGCTGCAATTGACGATCGATCGATAGGCTATCAATTTGATACTCCCCAACATCGACTTGACATCGTACAAGGTAACCTCTTTGGAAGAAGACTCTCCAACTTGGAACGTTTTTTATTCTCACCATCACTATGCGGCATTTAAATATTAATTTGGGTTTTCTCTCTAAATTATTATTTAAACTTTAATGAACTCTCAAGTTAATTTTTTTCCTTTTGATTAGTTTTATTCTCGAAATTTGATTTTGTTCTCTTGAAATTGTCATTATTTTAATCTCATTGAAATCATTATTTTTTTCTCTCTTAAGTTAATCTTTATTATTGAAGTTTTTTATTTATGTTTTGTTTTTTATGGACAATTTTTCTATTTTTCACTAAATATTGTATATATGTTTTATTTTATTTCACTGCATTTGAATAATCTTCTTCTTTTCCTTTGTTTTTTTTTATCTTTTATCTCAATAATTTTGTAAACATTCAAAAGGGGATTTTTTTTATTTTCCATTTTTTATTTATTGAAATATTTTTATTTTAATATTTTCTTGTGCATGCACATTTGTTATGTTTTACAGGTCTCAGTTTTACTCTTTTTTTTCCTCCTTCCCAACAAAATTCTATTTTTCTCGAATTTTCCCCACCATTGAGGAAACGCACTGGGGAAAGATCTGTACTTCGATTTTGAAGAACCTATGGCCCCAACAAATATACAAGGCTATATTCGAGCCAATAACTACATATGGCTCGGAAATGGGTCATCAATGCAAGATTGGTAGCAGTAGAGATGGACTATTGGAGAAGGGCAGCAAGAGAATCCAAAGGAGAAAAAAAAGAAATGAAGGAATTCTAGAAATGTTGGAGCTGAAAAGAAACTTTAAGGATTCTGCGGGTTCGTTCAATAAAAAACTACATACAAAAAAATAAATCTTTAATAAACAAAACGTTTTGGTAAAAACAAAATTAGAAAATAAAAACATACCTCTGAGATGCACATGCAATAACATAGAAACATATAAGAAAGCAAGAAATCATAAAACTAAACTAAAATTTGTACACAACTGAAAAAAATGCTTTACAATAACTAACACTGCATATAAATTACAAAATTACAACTACTGTAATCTGTGAGAGCTCACTACACTGCTTGCAGGCTACTAATAATGATAACTAATGTTCATTAACTAGCGAAACAAGAAAAAACAATGTAGCATGTTAAACAATTGCGCTAGCACTGAAAAACAACAGGCGGCTAGAATCGATCTCTCGATCCAAAGAGGTTGCAGCAGCTTGCGCATGCTATAGGCTGAGTTGTCTTGGACGTTTGTCATTAGACAGAACCCTAACAAAACATTATAGCAAATATTGAAAAGAAAAGATTATGCTAGTTTGGGCATAATTGTGTAAAGCTAAGGTAAAATGGAAAGAAGCTGTGGAATAGAAGAATGCCTGGCGGGTCATGGTATCAGAGAAGGATGGAATATTTTAAATAATATTTAGATCAAGGATAACCACATTAATGAAAAAGTCTTTAATAAAAAAAAAATGAGGTCTTTTAATAAAAAATTCCACCCCAATAACATGGTCTGCGTAGAAGGAAAATCATTCCCTGAGAGGTAGAAAAATTCAAATACCTCGGCTCCACAATAACCTCAATAAACGGGCTGAAATAGACCAGCGCACAACTAGCGCAAATAGAGCTTCCTTTTGCCTCTCAAAGGTATTGAAATCCCGAAAGATCTCAAGAAATACTCAACCTGTGGGATGTATAGCAAAGAAAAAACTGTATATATGGCCTTTAATAGCCGAGGTGAATATCTACACAATTGGAAAACTGGATGTTGAAAGCATAAGCTCAATTCAAATATTTAGAGAGCTGAGTGAATAAGACAGGAACGTCGGATATGTATATTGAAAAGACAATAAGTAACGGAAATATAATCCTCAGAACTCTAAACTCGATACTGTAGAGTAAGGTAGTGTCCTTCAAAACAAGGAAAATGATTTACAAATAATTCCTGGAAAGTGTTACTATCTATTCAGTCGAATCTTGGGGAATTAAAGATAACAATCTAAAACATTACTAGTGCTAGAAATAGACTGTTGGAGACCACCATCTGGTTTCTCCCGCCTTTAAAACGTTCTAAACTGTGCAATAAGGAAGCGAGTGGAGCAAATTGGGAACATACTCCACGCCATTGGAAGTGTGAGGCTGAAGTGGTATGGGCATGTAATGAAGATGAGAGAGGGACGATGGTCTAAGTGAATTTGAGATTGGATTGGAAGAAGTCTGGAAGGACGGAAGAGCATGGCGAAAACTTACGTTGTAAAATTCGTAAAATCAAAATTAAAAAAGATAATGAAACTACTAAAAAAAAAAAATCCAAAACTTAAGCTGAGTTTTGGGAATAAGTAGATGTTATTAGGAAATAAACAATTTTACCTTATTCATTATTGAAGAAGTACAACTGATGATTCTTAAAAAATTAAAACAAACAAAACCGATGATATAAGTGATGAATAAAAGATTATACATATTTGGGTCATAACAGTTCATAGAGTAAAGCCGCGAAGCACAGAATAAAAAGGTTAAAGTTGTCAATGCTAAGAGTTGTAATCTGTAACAGGAAGAAAATATATCCACAACTTTAGATAGCTGATGGTTAACTGCTAGAAGGGTTTCTACTTTATTATTAATGCTGTGTTGTGTGCTCTTCAGCTGGGAGAGGGTGTTCACGACCAGATCGTAGCGGCTGAGGATGTGGCATCCAATAGCTATGATCTGAGAGCACATGAGGGTGTAACTTGCGATTCCTATGAAATGGAACATGGCAGACAAATCAGGGCGCATTATTATCACCAATATATAATGTGCAGATAACGATGAAATCTGAAAAAGTCTGGCCGACCAATCGGGGCGAAGGACTTTAAGAACACCAATGGCGGAGAGTTCTCCGTCGATCATTTTTAGCTCTTGAAAAATGTACCCGTATTCTGACGCAATGCTGAATGCATCAAGCACTGATGAAATTGGTAACGAAAGATAAACCGGTATGTTTATCAAAGCTATGATCGTTAACGAATTATCGTTAAACAAGTTTAATACGAAGTAGAAGTTCAAATATCCGAACCATAAAATAACGCATGAAATAAAGATGGAGTAGAGACCTCTGGTGTACGAAAACCTGGACTTGCCGTACTCGAACACCAGCGGAGACAGACCAAACATAGCTGACAGCCGGAACACAAGCCGCAAGTGAAGACTTGGCAGACCACCATCCAATTTTCGCCTTGATTTCCTCACTCTTATTGACTCCATCTGGTGTAAGCCCTTCAGCGAACTAAGGAGTGAAAAATCCATTTCATCGACTTTCGAAATTATAGCTGTCAACTGACGGCGTGATAACCTCTACGGAAACAGAACAGAGAATAATGGCATATCCTTTTTAAATTATAGCTATCTACTGACAAACTAATGTCCTCGTTGACGTCTAACACTCACCTATTTATTACTTGATGTATGAGAATGTCGCCATACATCGTATACTACGCCAGTGTATCGTATACTAGTTGGCCTAAAAATTTGAAAATTATATTGTCCAGTGATCAAATGAAAGATTAATAAAATAATGCAACGTATCACAAGATAGAGAAATCAATTGTTACTTTAAACATAAATCTGATACACTCGAAATATTAATCTAAATATAATCGACAAAGGAAGCAAATTAATTTAAAACTTCATTAATGTTTGAACCAATATGTTTATAACTTTCGATAAGCTTCATCTAATCTTTCATATAACCATGGTGTGTTCTTATAAAAGAAATATAGTATTAAAGGAAAAAGTATGTAATTTTTGAGTTATTCGTAAATAAATTTTCTTTTCTTTCAAAAATTTGATTCTGAATTTTCGGGTTAATTGGACTATTTTCCCGCCTGAAGGAGAAGGAAGCCTTTAAAATTGGTGGCTCAATCTTGGTATTTGATGAATAATTAATGAAGAAATGGCGTACTGATAAAACACCTTTGATAAATTATGTAAACTCCTCCTCTCTCGATGATAGGGACTTCAAGTCGATAACTTACTCTTTTTTTCTGGCGTTTCACTTATATATAGAAACCAGTGTATCCTACACCTATTTTAAGAATAGCGCTATTATTTTTTCATATATTCTTTTTTCTAGCTATTTGCCATCTTTAATCGATTATTTCCGGAATTCTGTAGAAAAATAGAACAGAGTATTATTAGCCGTGAGCAATGACTAGATCGCGATCGAACTGTTTTTACCGTTGCTGCAAGGTGGCAATTTGAAAAAATTAAATGCTTGGCATTTTTTTTTTTTTAATTTTGAAGGTGTTATTCATCACGAATTTCTTCCTGATGGATACTCAATGAATTCAGAACTCCACTTCAAACAACTGGAAAGAGCTTTACCCTTCTTTGATAAAACGAAAAGAAATTTTATTTCAATAAGACAATGCTCGTCCTCATAGTTCCCGTCAAACCAAAGAAAAGTTTAATGAACTTCATGGGTTCGAACTTCTGCCTCATTCGTCATATAGTCTAGACCTCACACCATCGGATTCCTACTTATTTAGATCCATGGAAAAAAATTATAATTTTGCGGAACTTGAAATTGTGGTTCAAGAGTTCTTTGACAGCCATCCCAAAGAATGGTATCAGCGGGGGATCGAGCAATTGGCTAGCAGGTGGCTAAAGACGGTAGATAACAATTCTTCTTCTTCTTCTTCTGCGTTCGTCCTTATATGACTAGGTTAGGAACTAAAATGAAGGTCTTCCAGACTTACATATAGTTTTCATATAATAGAGAGGGCCAGATCACCTTCCTTTGCTGGGAGTAGGCCATGCACGTTTGTAGGATATGTTCCACATTCCGTACATACTCACCGCACTTGCAGTGGGGACTAGAGCCAATTTTGAACTTACTGACTCCTTAGTTCGCTGAAGGGCTTACACCAGATGGAGTCAATAAGAGTGAGGAAATCAAGGCGGAAATTGGAAGGTGGTCTGCCAAGACTTCACTTGCGGCTTGTGTTCCGGCTGTCAGCTATGTTTGGTCTGTCTCCGCTGGTGTTCGAGTACGGCAAGTCCAGGTTCTCGTACACCAGAGGTCTCTACTCCATCTTTATTTCATGCGTTATTTTATGGTTCGGATATTTGAATTTCTACTTCGTATTAAACTTGTTTAACGATAATTCGTTAACGATCATAGCTTTGAAAACATACCGGTTTATCTTTCGTTACCAATTTCATCAGTGCTTGATGCATTCAGCATTGCGTCAGAATATGGGTACATTTTTCAAGAGCTAAAAATGATCGACGGAGAACTCTCCGCCATTGGTGTTATAAAAGTCCTTCGCCCCGATTGGTCGGCCAGACTTTTTCAGATTTCATCGTTATCTGCACATTATATATTGGTGATAATAATGCGCCCTGATTTGTCTGCCATGTTCCATTTCATAGGAATCGCAAGTTACACCCTCATGTGCTCTCAGATCATAGCTATTGGATGCCACATCCTCAGCCGCTATGCTCTGGTCGTGAACACCCTCGCCCAGCTGAAGATAGGTGAGCTTTGAGCCTGTTGCGTCCAGTTCGTAAGCGGAAGATCAAGATCTGATCTCGTCGAGTTAGTTCATAGATCGCATCTCTTAGGTCGTGAAGTGGATGATTCCAGAGCCAACGTTGGTTAATAATCGCTTTATTGATTGTTTTTGTCTCGTCTAGGCTGATCTTACAATCGAATTGCCCACTCAAGGCCAGCTGGTCTGCCCTTTCGTTTCCATAGATACCACGCTGTCCAGGGATTCATTGCAGGACAACTTCCTTGTGAAGGGATATCAAGTCTTCAAGAACTTTGGCAAGTTTTATCAGGCTTTTCCTCCACTTCGATTTGAGTGATTGTAATACTGACGCTGGATCAGTAAAGAATACAATTTTTGAGTTTTTAGATCTCTTTAGTATTCTTATTAGTTTCGATGCCTCACAGATAGCTTCTTGCTCTGCTCGATAATTCGAAGAAGTGTTGCCTGTTGGAACAGCCTTCTCAATAACATTTCCCGCCGGAAATTTGTATTATATTTTGAGTATTAATTTTATTTTATACCAAAGAAATAATAATACAAATATTTGGTTGCAAAAAGATCATTTTTTTTTTTTTTTTACATTATTACATTATAGAGACCTACTAATATCAGGTTTTATCAAAATGCAAATAATAGCTTGATTAGAACATGTTTACAGCATGAACGTGAGACATCGCGAAAGAGCAGGAACAAAAAAAATTATAGCGTCTTCGAGAATATGTCTGTCTGTCCATCGAGCGAAGATTAGGATCTGCCTAGGACTGCTTCAGATCCTTGCGTAGATGTAAATAATAAGTATTATATGTCCTCCAGTATTTACTATTTTATGTGACATTGAGTGAGAGAATGAAAACGAATATATAGGAATATGAGGTTGCATTATGAATCGTACTCAATTGTGCAGTGGACAAAAAATTGTTCATTGAAAAGTCTCATATCGATAAACAATTGACGAAGAAGGAAGAAGCCTAGAAAAGGACCGAGCAGGAGGCAGCAGCTGGAGAAGGATACCCAAAAAAAAGAAGGTACTTGAGGCATGGGCATGAAAGCAGAACGACGTTACCTGAGAAGAGAAGTTTACTACAACGAAGATTAAAAATATCAAGCCTACAGTTATAAGACTCAAAAGAGATTAATAGATTCATTTATTACAGTTGTCAAAATAAATTATTTTATTATAAAGGAGCGAATAGTCCTTTTATTTAATTGTCCTATATAACTCACAATTGAAGAGTAACAAACCAGAGGAGTCAATTAATTCATAGTGTATTTACTCAGTCCCAGATTTTATTTATATTATTGCTATTTCTAGTCACATTGTTAATTCCCAGCGACAGTTAATACCCTCAAAAAGTGTTTATCCAGTGCCTGTGTTTTAAGAAAATTAAATTCAAAAGTGTAAATAACCTAGCCCCACAAAACGGAAGGCTATCTACAATTGCCTCCAAAAAAATTATTTACAATTGCCCTCTTACAAGGTTATTTACAAATGTAATGGTTTATTTAAGTAAAAAAGCTGAAATCTTAGCTAAGTATTCTTTAACACCAACTTATTATATATCAGATATTATTATAGTTTACCTTATTCATTATTGTAGAGGAACATCTAATGATTCTTAAAAAATGAAAACATACATGAACGATGAAATAAATAAAAAATGCAAAATGTAACATCCTTTGACAGTTATAATAGATAAAGTACAGCCTCGAAGTAACAAAAACAAAAGTGAAGATTGTCAATGCTAAGAATTGCAACCTGTTACTGGAAGAAAATGTATTCACAACTTTAGACAGCTGGTGGTTAACAGCTAGAAGGTTTTCTACTTTATTATTAATGTTGTGCTGAGTGCTCTTCAGCTGGTCGAGGGTGTGCACGACCAGATCGTAGCGGCTGAGGATGTGGCGTCCAACTGCTTTGAGCTGACAGCAGATGAGGGTATAAGTTATCACTCCGATACAATAGAATATGACAGATAAATCCCAGACCAACGATATTGCTATTATTAAACATATAGAAATATATAAAATCTCTAAGATATAAAAGAGCCAGGTAGACCAATTTTGGCGATGGACCTTGAGAACTCCAATGGCGGAGAGCTGTGAGTCGATTATTCTTAGCTCCTCAAAGATGTGTCCATAATATGATACATTACGGAAAGCATCAATCACAGATGAAATGTGTAACAAAATATAAATCGTTACATTCAAACAGGCAATGATCAATAATGAAACGTTGTTTAAGAACTTTAAAACGAAATAGAAGTTCAAAAAGCCGAATAATAAAGTAATGCATAAAATAATTATCGAGTAAACGGCTCTGGTGTATGAGAACCTGGACTCTCTCTCCTCGAACACCAGCGGAGAAAGACCTATCCAGGATGACAACCGGAACACAAGCAGCGTCTGAGGACATAGCGAACCACCTTCCGATCTTCTTCTTGATTTCCTCACTCTTATTGATTCCATCCGGTGAACGCTCTACAAGGAACTGAGCAGGAACTAATATAATCGACGTTTTAAATTATACCTCTCACGAATAAAAACTGACAATATAATATCCTAGATGGACTCTAGTAATAACCTAGTTGCAATGATAGATGAATATATATCTCTTCACATTTATTCATCAATAGTTTTGATATTCATCGACGCTACTATTATAGTCTGGGAGCAAGTGGTTTGTCAGTTACCAATCCATATACTGATGAA